TTCTGGCAAGTTCCTGCTGATATGTGGGCATTGAGCAGTCACTGAGGCTGGGGTCTTCATGGTCTAGGTTTGCTCTGGGCAGAGCAGTGTAAGTGAAGCCTCCAGTCACCTGCAGTAATAGGATGATTTTGACTTGCTCCCAGATAGTGTCCTGAGTGAGGGCTGTTATCCTGTTAAAGAGAAACTTTTGAAACAAGGTTAAGAAACCAGAATCCAAGAAGGAAGAGTAAGAGGATAACTGTTAAAGGTCCCAGGTGAAGGGCCAGCCGGGGGATCACAATGAGGGGAATGGCACTAGGATATCCATTGGAGTGATTCCCATCATCCACCAAAACGTTCATGCGTTTGACTGAGATCAGGCAAAAGGCTGATAAGGTTGCAGGCTGGCTGGCATGAATACCATAAGAGAATACACCCTGGGCACAAGCCAGAAAACTTCCATTTGAAGGATAAGTCAAGTTGTAGCCCATTACACAGAAGGAGGAATTTCCATGTTGGACTAGGGGCAGGAAGGGAATGCCCAGGGTTTCTGGTGCCTGGATAGGGGAGAGCATGGTGGACTGGTTAAGAATAATGAGTCAAAATCTAGGGCTGAATTGGAGTGGCTAAGGGCCCAGTAAGAGGACTTGATCATTTCCTGTAAATAGTAACAATAGCAAGAATGTAAGTTCCTGTTCAGTTAGAAGGTAGACAAGTATAGACATTAGATAGGCATGCTTATTAACTATTTTCTTTTGATTTCCTGGCTCTGGTTAGTTTGGAAAGGGCGAGTGCAAACTGACTCCATTTAGGATGTGACATTATCCCCTCTTACTCCAGGTCTAGCTTTGTCCGGGGGCAGAGGGCTGGTGGTGGGGGCTAGGTGCTCATTGCCATGATGGCTTGTCCTGGTTAGCATCTCTTTTAGCAGTTGTAGGGTTTGAGCTCAGGGCCTGGGCACTCTCCCTATACTCTTGTTCAAAGCTAGGTAACACTGTATCATCTTGAGCCACAACACCACTTCTAGGATTATTCTGGTTAGAGATAATAATCTCACAAAGAATTTCCGCCCAGGCTGACTTCGAACCACAAATCAAATGAGTCTTTGTCAACAGTCCCCTTACTCCAATTAAGCAGGAAGATCAATAGGAATTGTTTTTAGGCAGGGCTTATCTGGTACTGATTAAGAATAGAAGTTTGACCAATAAATATTTACAAGAGTTAGTGGGCTGGGAAGGTGGCTCAGTGGTAGAGCACTTGCCTTGCATGCTCAAGGCCCTGGGTTGGATTCCTCAGCACCACATAAGCAAAAAGAAAAAAGCTGGAAGTGGCGCTGTGGCTCAAGTGGTAGAGCACTAGCTCTGAGCTGAAGAGCTGAGGGACAGT